TGTGGATGATATTCGAGGATGACTGCGTGGTCCGTTTCATTGCTGTGGTGATCTCACTGTGCCCTGTCGGCATGTTTGTGCGCAGATGAAATAATTTGGGGTCTTTCCTCGTGGCCGTCTCCTTTTCTCGACGGAGTCCTCAAAAGGTGGGTGAAGCATTCAGTGAATCAGGTGTTCAGTGTACAGTATTCACTTTGATATTGCCTTTGCTGCAGCACAGGCAACTCTTTTCGACTACAGGAAAAGAAACAGAAAGCTGGTGAGCGGAAGAAACAAACGAGGAAGTTGAGCACATTCTGTGTGTAGCGCCGCCGTCGACGACAAGGCGAGACCGCCAAAGCCCCATCGTCAGACTCTTTCTCAAGAAAGAAGGGACAAGCGCCAAAGCTCTCCTCATCTCTCTCTCGGTCGACGCCCATCGCCTCCCTCATCGCCTCCCTCATCGCCCGCCCGCCTCATGGCCTTCTACGCTTCAAAGAAATGGTACCGAAACCCGGCCCCGACTTGTGGACGCGCATCGACGCCACGGCAACACAGCAGCAAACACCCCCCCACCGATCCCTCCCTCCCTCCCTCCCTCCCTTAATTCGCCCTTTATTATCAAAAACATCAATCCAGCTAACTCCTCCGCCAGGCCCCTCCACGTGTCTGTGTCTGTGTCTGTGTATGTATCTGTGTCTGTGTGTGTGTGTGTATGTTTGTGTAGCTAGCTCGCTAGCTCTTGTCTGTTGTTTGTGAGGCCCGGCCTTTGTTTGTCGTTCGTTGCTGCGGCCGTAGACAGACAAGCCTTCGTCCTGGCTTTGTTCGGTGGCATTGTGTGTGACAAGGTTATCACTCTCCGCGCAGGTACACATGAAGACAGACAGAAGAGAAAAGATTACACATTTTCAATTCTGCTCCTCATATCTCTTCCACTCTTCTTTGTGTGTCTGTCTCTGCTTGTCTGCTTGTCTGCTTGTCTGTCTGCCTGCTCGTGACGCTCCTTCAGATGCAGGCAGGCCGTTTTGTATGGACCAGCATCGTGATGGCGCCAAGTGAGCTGCTCGCCACCAGGACCATCTCTCAGGTACATGTGCTGGGCACACAAGATCATGGTGAGAGAAGTGCTTCTTTGACTTGACATCAGACTTGACCGACCTTTGCCAGCGCGCACACCTCGCACATTCGTTGACGCTAAGCGAAGGGAACAAGGGACACATGAGAGAACTGACGGCATCTCTTTCTGCTTCCTTCCTTTTCAGCCTCTCATGGCTGCCCGCGTTGTGTACTTTTTGGAGCTCAACGAGTGCAAACGACACTCTTTCGGTCCAGAAGAAATGCTATGGAAGTGAGAAGGCAATGCACACACAAACACATGAGAAATGAATGTCATGAATGTCTTCACAGTGGCGCAGAAATCGGTGGCGGAGACGGAAGAGCAGCTGGACCTTGACGCAATGAAGGAGCCGTGTGTGTGGGTGAGAAAGGGATGGAGGGAAGAGAGCAGTGAATATGGAATGGATCGAGACGAATTCTCCTGTGTTCTCTGTGTGGCGAGAAGAACTCGTTCATTGGCGTTTGTGGCGGAGACACGCGGACATGGCCACCATGATGACGGTGCGGCCGCGGCGTCATCATCAGCCCCAGCAGCAGCAGCCGGTAGTGGTGCGGGTGTCCGTGGGCACGACAAGCCTGCTGCCGGTGGGTCTGGCGAGACGAAGGTCAACGGCTCAGAAGGAGAAGGAAGAGGAGGAGCAACAATTCTGCAGGTGGGTGAGAGGGAGAGGGTGGGTTGATTGATTGAAGGGGGAGTGCATTCAGGTGTGTGTGTGTGTGTGTGTATCTGTGTGGTGTCATCAATCACCAGTTCCCCCGGCAAAGACCCACGGGGAGGCCATTGAGGCAGCCAGGCGGGACAACAAGCCGAAGTGGTCCTGCCGTCGCTGCGAGACGGAGAAGCCGACCCGCCTCATCCCACAGTGCGCCATGATCTGCGGATGGCCCGGCGGCACCCTCAAGGAAACGACCACCGCGACTGATAAATCCACGTCACATGCGCGATCTGGCTCCTTTAGGTGTCTGTGTGTCCATCCGTATAAATGCAGGCCTTCCGGTGCCCTGCAGCCACAACGACAGCTCGTCATGTGACAAGGCGTTCCACCAATGCGGTGAGAGGACGAGACAACAGACATCACTCTGCGAATGCGTGTTGCCTTTCATTCACGTCGTCTGTATTTGCTTGTGTCTCGAGTGTGTCTGCATCAGACTGGCGGCATTCTCGGAGAGGGGCGAGGCGTTGGCTTCACGGCTGCCTACATTTTATATTGCTTGGAGGTATGTTTCTCCATTTCGGCGCAGAGCCCCCTTACCCCAGCCGCCTCGATGCGCCGCGAGTCATTTCGGCAGCCTCTTCTGCTTGCCACTTCCACAACCAGGGCGAGGGAGGGCGGAGAGGCCAGGGTCTGCCGACCAAGAAAGACTTTGAGAGCGTCATTGGGTTCCTGCAGGAGAACAAGCCGATGTCTGATAAGGGGGTTCGCCAGCCTCCACTATAAGCACGCACAGAACACCTCCACGCCATTTCAGCAGGTGATTGGCACACGAAACGGACACAGAAACGGGTGCTTCCGTGTATGTGTGTGTCCCCTCTCTCCCCGTATGCGGTGTCTCTCTCTCAGTACTACCACCACATCTGGCAGCCACTCTCGCTCAACGGGTTCGCCGCGGCAGCTCCCCACCCCCCTGCCACGCAAGAAGCGTGCCTCCAACCCACAGGCCGCCGGGGTGGTCACCTACCAGGGCACCAGCATGGCTGTCCATGTCATCATGAATGCCGTAGAGAAGACGCCAGATGACTACGCGCAGGAAGAGCTGATGGAGAAGATGGTAGACAAGGCGTGGTGCAAGCAGGCGCAGCGCAAGTGGTGAAGCTGAATGCGCCGCTACCCGTCATCCCTCCCAGCGGCCCCCCTGCGGCCGAACACCGACCTTCTCAAGAACATGAACACTGGCGACCTGACCTACCTCGCCGAGGGCGCAAGGGTGCTACAGAGCCTCGTCTCCCGGCCTATGAGGGCGATCTTTTGCTCTGCATTTCCTATGGCGTGGCCGAGAATCTGTGCAACAACGACATCGAGGCCGTCATCAACAGAATACCCGCTTCACCCGCAGCCCACGACGTCGCGTCAGCATTGTGCTCGGCGCAACAAATGTTGTGTGTGTCTCGGTGTGCAGGTCGATGGATGGATTGCTGCCTACGTTTTATATCCTGAGGTCTCTTGTTTCGATGCTATGCTGTCTTCGTATTTGCTGCTGCACCCAACACTCATGGTAGGCATGTGCGCACTCACACATCATCACGGAACATCATTTAGGCAACCATCATGATAGATCGTGTGTGTCTCTCCAGGTGGCTTTCCCAAGGCGCCAATGCGTGCTGCCTCAAGGCGACGATTCGCACACCAAGGGCAAGATGGCAGAGCGGCTAGGGGAGGTCGAGAGGGGCAGGCTGACCAAGACATTGTCTAGGAACGGCACGCACTCGCCGCTGATGGCCATCAGCGAGGCTAACTGTCACACAGACGCTGCTAAGTCCGCCACACCGATCACCATCCACCTCGGCGGCCGCACGGGGGAGGAAAAGTCTCTAGTGTCAGCAGCTATGACTTGTTGTCAGGTGGGGGCGATACAGTATTTGGGTTCACCCACTGCACGCATGAGAACCTCTGCACGCAAACATCTGTGTTGTGTGTTTGTGTGGTGTTCCTTCAGTGCGTCAGGCGATGAGTGGCTGCCTCTCTTGTGAATTCCTCCAGGCCATGTCGGAGGAGCTGGACGCACCGCCTGAAGCCGAGAGCGCCGACCCGATACCTTACCACAAGAGGGAGGGAGACGGCATCATCACATCACGGCATCCATTCATCCATCAACTGCTGACTGAAGATCCTCCTCGTGCCGATGGCTATTTCAGCTAGTCGAGATGGACAACGAGGGAGGGAGACGGCATCATCACATCACGGCATCCATTCATCCATCAGCTGCTGACTCAAGATACCTGTGGCTCTCGCCACACACGGCATATCGGCGACCAAGAAGCGAGCTGCACTGATGATGATCAAGAAGTGGACAACGAGGAGGGAGGGACACGGCATCACGGCATCCATTTGATATTCGAAAGAAAAGGGAGACCAGCACACAGACATGCGCACACACGGAATTCGATGAGCCCTTTAGGCCTGGGGCTGGGAGGCCGGGGAATGACTGCTGGTGTGATGGGCTGTCTGTGTGCGGCGGTTTGAGCGAACGGCCTTGCGTGTGTGAGAAGTGGCTATGCCGCAGGGAGGGTGAGTGTGGTGAAGTGGTGAAAAGTGCAACCTGGTGGAAGGGACGAGCGGCGAGGCGGTGGGCGTTAGCATACAGAACAACTTGCAGTAAAGCTCCACAGTCAATACTCAAGTCTACACGGCATCGCCAAGTTGGCCAAAAGCCCGTGGGCACAGAGAGAGAGATGGATGCGCACACACACGACAGACACACACACACACTCAGGCTCGCTGATCATCCATCCAGCAGTGATGAGCAGGTGGCCCTGAACCACACACACACACACACACACACATGTTCGTTCATACGTTTGCGCCTTCAAGTGTGACGAGAGACAAGACTTCCCGCGTTGTAAATAATTGCAGAGACTGGAGTTGTGTTTTTTTTTTTTCTCTCTCGCGGCGGAAAGGCCAGCCGCTGAGAGAGGGGGTGCACACATTACTCCAACAATATAA